GGCCTGAATTCATCAAAGAGGCTCGAGAGCAAGTAGGCATTATTCGAAGTCACTTGAAGGCAGCTCAAAGCCGACAGAAGGCTTATGTAGACAAGCGAAGAAGGCCTTTGGAGTCTGAAGTTGGGGATTATGTGTACCTCAAGGTGTCTCCTATGAGAGGGGCGCATCGGTTTGGTATCCATGGCAAGCTAGCCCCTCGATATGTGGGTCCTTATCAGGTGTTGGAGCAGTGTGGCCCCATTGCTTATCGTCTCCAGCTTCCCGGTATTTTATCTGCGATACACAATGTGTTCCATGTATCACAATTGAAGAGATGTTTATGGGTTCCAGATGAAGCTGTGGAAATTGAAGGGCTTCCCCTCCAGCCAGATTTGACTTATGTTGAGCACCCTGTAAAAATGCTGGATGAGAAAGAAAGAGTGACGAGGAACAGTGTGGTAAAGTTCTACAAAGTGCAATGGCAAAACCATTCAGAGGATGAGGCCACATGGGAACAAGAGAGTTACCTATTGAAGCATTACCCCCACCTCCTCTCTGGTTCTGATAGTTAGTTGCTGCGTCGAAATGTATTTCCTATCTCCTTCTCACACAAGGCATACGGAATCTTGGGTCAAGATTTTGTTTTAGGGTGTAGATTTATAACACCCTCGGTGTTACATTGTATAGCTTTTTGCTAAAACACTGCATGAACATTTTACTTGTGTGTACATGTATGCAATATAGGGTATAAATTAATATATGGAACTTGAAACGTTCATTTGAAACATGAAATGAATGTTACATTGCATGTCACGTTGTATCACTTGGTGTTCTAAACGAATTTTTATTAAACGAAAAGGCTATAGAACGCACATGAGAAACTAGGATAAAGTTCGTAGTACAAGATTTGTAAGTGACGGTGAAATACTCACGGTCGAGAAACGGGTCAACAAAGCCGTGTTTGACAATTTGTGTAGAAAGATCGGGTTAGGTAGTGACATGGTTTTGGGGTTTCTTTTAGTAGCCTGATATACCAGCTAGAGCGTAAAATTGGTGGTGTAGCTACTGGATCATCGAGTTGGCTTTTTGGAATAGCTTTAAAAAGCGTGCAAGACACGTTTTTGGATTGGTGCCAGCATCTGGTCGTGGTCCTGTGGTGTGGCCGGCATCGCCGCATGCATCACGTGCGTGCTGGGGTCCCACGGGCCTGGCTGCCGTGCCGCCTCCATCGCGTTTGCCTGAGCCCACTGCTCGCCGTCGCGTCGAGCTGTACCTCGGTCGCACTGCGTTACGTCCGTCGCTGCCGCGTGGCACTGCTTCCATTGACCTGCCGCGGCTGCACGCGGGTGGGCCGGCCGCTTGCGTTCGCTTTGGCGCCGCGTTTGGTGCCACGCTAGGCCGCTGTGTTTCCGGACATGCCAGTATCTGCGGCGCAGTGACGTGCCACCCTCTCCTCACGTGTCATGGAGCTGCGGTCGCACGTCGAGTGCCGGGCCCGTGCGTGCACGAGGAGTCGCCACCAACGCGCTGCTGTCCTTCCTCAACTAGTGAATGCGCCACGGCAACGCCGAGCCAACGTGCCTACTTTCCCTGTTCTTCTATCGCCGAGCCACGCCAGGACCAAACCACTGAGCTGGCCCATCCTTGTTCCTGCACACGAGGACGGATGGGAGTACAGCTTCTTGCCTAACCCGCCACTGTTGCGGTAGTATGATGTCGGGGCGTCGATTCAAGTTTTTGCCATCGCCGGCCGCCATAAGTTCTGAATGGCGTCGCCCAAGCAATTAGCCTTACGTACTCCACATCTTTCCAATTCACCATGCACACATCGAGCTCGAGTAGTTAGCTTCTGATCGGAGTCGTCCCGACGTGCGTTCGTCCTACGGTGAGGTTGTGCGGGGCGTTCCCCTCGTGGCTCCAAGCGACCTCCGGCTTGGGCTCCAAGCGCCGAGCCAGTAGCAGAGCCGCGAACAACACACCGGTGTGCTCTGTTCGTCGGCGACCACCATCGCACCACGCTCGCGTAGGCAAGCAGAGCAAGCTAGCAGCCAGCGATGCGTGCCCTCGCTCTTAGCTTGTTGACATCATCCTAACTTCATCCCTGCGTCACACCCAATTTAGTGTCGCTTTCTTGTAGGAAAATAAATCCCTGAATACATTAGAAATACACCCACCTTATGTGCTCTGCTGGGCCAGTTCGCGTCCGCGCTGCCGCGCTGGGCCGTCAGCGTGTGCGCTCCGCTTGCTGGGCCATGCGCGCCGTCCGCGTGGGCCGCCGGCCTCCTCTGTGGCCGTGCGCGTGCCCCAGCCTTACCTGGGCCGTTCACCCCGCGTTGGGCCACCGCCTACTCCCGCATGGGCCGGTTGTGTGCCGCTCACGTCACCGCCTGCCGCACTGGGCCACGCGCGTCCGCGCCCGCCTGCCTGTGCCGTTTGCGCGTCCGCGCCCCGCCTTGCTGGGCCGGTCTGTGGCCGCCGCGTGGGCCACGATGGTGTGCGCGCGCGGGTCGCGCTAGTGGGCCGAGCCGCGTTGCGAGTTGGGCTGCGCTGTGAATTCATTTTCCAATTTTCCAGCGATTTACAAATGTTTATTCAATATAGTTTCTAGCTGAACTTTGATAAATTGTAGTAAATTTTGTAGATATCCAAAAATAGTGAAACTAAGTTTGTTAGGTTCACAAAAATGCCATCTATCTGTTAGTATAGTTAGATTACAGTTAACTATGATAATGGTAGGTTCATGAATTCAAACTAAAGAGCTTAGTATTATGTAGATTAATATTTGTAGGAATTTTTATGGTAAATTGTTGTTAGCTATGGCTATGAAAATTTCACAGTAGGCTCACTAAATTATTAGGTACTTGCTGTAAATTTTGTAGCCCTAGTGTAAGTTGATAAATGGAGTAGCTATTATCCTTGCTTTATCATATATAGCATAAATCAGTATTAGGAGTAAGAATACCTGTAGTTGCTATAATAATGAATGCCATACTTCATACTTGTTATTGATAACAATAGATAACTTCGTACCGTGGTCGGTAGCACTAGCTTAGTAGTTAGACAGATGTACTTTTATTTTAAGAGTTGCTGTTGCTATATTACTAAGTATTGCATCATCATTTCATGCATGTAGATCACGAGTTGGTAGAGTTTGTGCCCGTCGACGTACAGGAGTACGAGGAAGTCATCGAGGAGTACAAGGAGGAGATCCTCGTGCAGGAGGGAACCCCGAAGCCTTTTGGAGCTGACTTTGCTGACCCGTCGCCTGCCCAATGCAAGCCCCGGCGCATAACCCCTATTTTAATGATCACTGAATATATATCTATGATGTGCATTTACGTTACAGGCATTTTATAGAAACCACATGCATGAATATATCTACCTATGAGTCCTACTAGTGCAGGTCGAGTAGCTGCTATGCTTAGGATTTCGGTAGCATGGGTAACCTGTCGTTACTAACAAATATGTGATAATTATGATCACTCATGATAAATGATGGGTTAGTCCTGCTTGTGCCTGGGGTGCAAGCGGGGCATGTGTTTTTGGGGTACCCAGCTGGGGGCATTGATTCGCGAATCGCCGGGCGATCCGGTACGGCTTGTTTCGTGTCTAGCACCGTAGTAAGAACTGAAATATGAAAGGTGATGAAATGTAACTGATTGCTCAACTCTTGCTTGAAAGTAGAACATGTGCTTATATAGACTGGATAGATAATAACTTAATACGACTGATAATAATAATAATATAAATAAGGACTCACTATTAGTATTGCTTTGTGCTGAAATAAAACCAGCAAACCATAAAGCTTCTCATATTCCTTGGAGTCGGAAAATTATTCCCACTAGTCGGATAAGTCTTGCGAGTACATTATGTACTCAGGGTTCATTTACCCCTATTGCAGGTAGTGCTTGAGAAGTACCGTTGTGCAGAGGATTCTTCTGGTGGGCTTAGACGGATCCTCGTTCTTATCGCTAGATGTTTATTTTAAATTCCGCTGTTTATCATTCCGCACTCTGACATTTGGTATTGTAATAATGTACTTTTAAAAAACTCTGATGTATGAAATAGACAAGTATTATAACTCGTTATCATTATTGGATCCTCCGCACTCTGACAACACTGCTTCATCAAGTGTGATCATATGACGTAAGATGCACTTGTTGATCTAATAAAAACTATCATTGATCGTGGGTCTAATAAATTCTGTAATTGCAGTAGAAAAGATCTCTTTGTGTAGGATTATTACTATTTTGGGTGTGCTTCACTTGACCAGTTTAATTCAATAATCAACCCTGGTGCTAATTTCAAAAGACCACCATAAATTCTTCAATATGGTATATTCTTTGACCTTCAAATGATCTCATATTGAACATTTTGCTGAGCCCTTTACACCCCAGATACATCAATTCAAGTATGCACATCATTGCTCCATATACGATGTTTTAGTAAATGCAAGCCAGAGAAAGTTCAGCTGAAAGCTAGTCCACATGTTCTGATAGCATATTACTTTCAGTAGCATCATAATTCATAAGGACCAGGCCAGTCTGCAATTGAAGTTTAAATTTGATGATTGACTTGATTGTACACTGTACTGTATCATACTGTATCAGCTACAAATCAACAATAGGGTCCATAACTCCATATTGGCATGGCAAATGGATCATTACTAAACTTTCGCTATTTTTCATTGAAAAGCATTAATCCCATTAGTACATAAATTTACAAGCTACCGAACTTCAGTTTAGGAGCATCCAAGAAGACAGAACTTAGTTTTTTTATTTCAGACTTTGAAAATAGCCATGACGATTGTCACAAAACCTCTGTCCCCACAAAGGTTGGATCACTTGTACATTGTGTTGTGACACGTCTAATTTACATACAAGGCTTCACATCCATTCTTAACAATTGAAGTAAAAAGGATGTGTGAAATCCAACTACCAACGGCGACATTTCATCAAACATGTTATGGGCACGCACTTCTTCTGTAACGAGTCACGACAAGAGACGTACAAGAGGAGCTCCTACCTCTCCGCCGGCTGGACGCCAAAGACGCCGTCCCTCCGTATCACAAACTCGCACGACCGCTCCGGAAGGTGCGGCGCGAACGCCACTTTCATCCGCCTCCTTGCGCTCCCGCTGGCGCCATCCCCGTCCACCTCCCGCGTCAGGAATAGGCGCATATTGACGCAATTGGCCCAGGCGATCCCGAGCGCCGGGCTCACGCTGCGCCCCGACGACCATGCCACGGTGTTCCCGGCGTCCCGCTCCACCACGTCCACCACCTGGTTGGTCACCACCACCACACACTGGTGCCTGTACGCCAGCTCCTTGAGCTTCACCGAGATCTAGAAGAAGACCACGGAGCGGCGCCTGAGGTCGACGGGGGAGGCGTCGAAGTCGGCGCGGAAGAGGGAGGCGATGGAGTCGAGGAGGATGAGGCGGATGGGGAGGCGGTGCGGGGAGCGGCTGGGGTTGGCGAGCAGGCGCTGGGCGCGGGCGAGGAGGGAGAGGAGGTCGGTGGGGGAGTGTGCGGCGGTGACGAGGACGTGGTCGAGGATTTTGGGGGCAAGGCGGCGGAGACGGTGGAGGGGGAATGGGAGGTGGGAGTGGAGGAAGAGGGAGCATGTTATAAACGATAGGGCAATATAAACGACGAAGAACAGTAGATCAAGCACAGGCGATATGAGATTTTAATGTGAAAAATCCTCTCAAGATGGAAGGAAAAAAACCACGGACACCAGCCAATAAATCTTTACTATATCGGGTGAGGTTACAAAAGTCGGAGATTTATAATTTTTCTTATCCCAAGACGACGGCTTACATAAAGTATATATAGACGAAAAACCCTAATAGGTGACGATCCGTACCGCTTCGGCCCGCCTCCCGGCGACGGGCCTTGCTTCGCTCCGGCAAAAATTAGTCTTTATCTTGTACATAACTGAATTTGGATCACAACTCAACAAACTCCACCTTGGGACAAATTCCTTCTTGTAGCATAAAACGAACATTTACCCTGAAACAATAAAGAAATACTTCTGGTGCCAAAATAGCCTCTTGGGCTAAATAGTTATACCAACTAAGCTTGAGCAAAGCTCAAACTTAGCAACAGAAACTGGCTTTGTCAACATATCAGCAGGATTATCATATGTGTTTATCTTGCATACCTTCAGCTTACCTTGCGAGACCACGTCATGAACATAATGGTATTTGACATCAATGTGCTTAGTTCTATCATGAAATATCTGATCTTTAGTTAGACATATAGCACTTTGGCTGTCACAAATTAAATTAATGCAAGAATCATCTCCACAAAGCTCAGCAAATAAACCTTTCAACCAAACTGATTCTTTACATGCTTCAGCAATAACCATGTATTCTGCTTCAGTGGTAGACAGGGCAACAACGGGCTACAATATTGCCCTCTAACTCATAGCACAACCACCAATAGTGAACACATAACCTGTGAGAGATCTCCTCTTATCCAATTCAGCAGCAAAATCTGAATCCACGTAGCCAGTAAGTCCCTTATTAGTCCTGCCTAACTTCAAATAAGCATTTGTTATGCCACGAAGGTACCTGAAAATCCACTGAAGAGCATTCCAATGTTCTTTACCAGGATTAGTCATCATGTATCTACTAACCAAACTCATAGCTTATGATAAATCAGGACGAGAGCAAACTATGTCATACATCAAAGAACCAACAGCACTATAATATGGAACTCTTGACATGTACTCAAAATCCTCATCCGTAGTAGCACATTGTAAAGCTGATAATTTAAAATGAGGAGCAATAGGAGTACTAACAGACTTTGTATCATGCATGTAGAAACGATGAAGAACTTTCTTAATGTAAATTTGCTGACTAAGAAATAACAAATCAAAATTTTTGTCTCTCGTAATTTCCATACCTAGAATCTTCTAGTGCTGACAGGGACTGGGGCGCGAGGAGGGTGAGCTGGAGGCAGAGCTGGGTCTTGCCAGTGGCGGACTCGCCGGCTATCTCGGGAACGGAGGCGGCAGGGAGGCCGCCAGAGAGGAGTCGGTCGAGGAGGGGACAGCCGAGGGAGAGCTTGGTGACGCGAGAGGAGGGGAGGAGAAGGAGAGGGTTCTCCGTGCGGGGCTCGCGCTAGCTGTAGGAGGACGAGGAAGCGGCAGAGGGGACCTTCGGCGCCGGCGGACGCATCGCCAGTCAACTCGCTGCCAAGGGGATTGGGGTTTCGCTCGGAATCTGGTTTTCAACCGTCTGCGGGTAGTTTGCCTGTGGGAGGAGGAAACTTTTGGGCTAATGTTTGAGCGGTCCGTAGGAACGAGTAAAAGGGTTGGGCCTAGCCCAATTTTCTTTCTTTGCTTTTTTCAGTTATAATTTTAGAACGCAAAGTTTAAGGCGCGCGGGTCGCGCTCCTGGTGGAGGGAGCGACCGCACGCGGCCTGGCCTGCGTGCCTTGGGGCCCTCACGAGCCTGCGCTGGGCCTGCGAGTCTGCGACGCATGCGTCCTCCCGTGCTCATATGCATGTGGCTTTTTTTCTTTATTCTTTTCAATTTATTTAGTTTTTGTTTTATGTGAGTTTTTATTTTTATTTTTATTCTTCCTTGTTTTTTATTTCTTTTGGTTTTCATTGTTTTTTCTTTAACTTTTATTGTCTATTTGTCATTTTCCGTTTCTTTTCCCGGTAGTTTCCGTTTCTTTTTATTTTTATTTTTATTTTGTATACTTTAGTTTTTAGTTTTGTTGTTTTTTTGTTAATTTAAGTTTCAGGTTTTAGTCAAGTTTTCTTTAATGTTTTTTAGTTTCAGTTTTCAGTCAGCTTTTTAGGTTCGAATGCTTACTAAATCCTATATATTAGTTGTATAATAACTTATCCTTTAAGTTAGCGCCTTATATCATGCTTATTCTAATATTTTGCCCCTCAAAGTGCAGCTTATCTTATTTTGGGTCGCTACTCTTGTCGTTTTATTTAACATCCCTTCATTTTGTCACCTAGTCATGTTTCCCGGCTCATATAGTGGGTTATATAATAACTTGCCCCTTTACTTGACATCTTATGTAATACTTGTTCTAATAATTTGTCCCAGTTGCAGCTGGTCTTGTTTTGTGCTGCTACCCTCATTTTTTAATAAATACCCCAAGTTGGCAGCAAGTCATGCTTCCTTGCTTTTTGTAATGTGTTTTATAATAACTTGCCCCCTAACTGACAGCTTATGCAATATTTATTATAATAATTTGTCTTTGCGGATTACAACTTGTCTTGTTTTGGTTAGCTATTCTCTTTAGAGGTTAATACCATTATGCAAATACTATATATCAAATTTATTATGTTTTTCACATGGTAACAATCAATGTGCATACCAAGTAAAAACTTTCAATGATTTTTTTAAGTAGCAAGTTTAGTATTATATGGTAGCAACTTATTTCATGAATCTTTTAGCATATTTTTACACATAAATTGCTATTAAAATAAAGTTCATCGAAACATAGGCAAGTGGAGTCTAGTTTTGTTTGTCTGATCACGTAGAATATACCGGTGCAGACGAAATTGAAAATGGAAACACTATTCGAAAGTTATAGCTTTTTTAAAAAACTAGGTAAATGCCCATGCGTTGCAACGGGAACACGTAATACCACGATAACATATGTATGAGCGTGTGTTATACTGTTATCTAAAATAAATACCGTAATCATAATGTTACAATCAATATTACATAAGTCTTCACGAAAGATAGATAGTTAAAATATAACTCTAAATTTGAATGCAAAACGAAAACATCAACTTCAATTGTCGCATCACTTCATGCCTACGATACGCGAAAGATAAACTTGCACTTCTTTAGGAATCAAGTGCTACGGAAAGATAATCATAACAAGTTTGTGTTTTACAATATATGTTTTAGAATCTATTCTACAATTAAGAATCTAATCTCTCAATAGTTCGACTAAGAGAACATGCTTTGCACGAATACCAAGCTGCAGTTGGTTTGCATGGCAGGATGAGGACTGAATTGGCGATCAACAGGCAGTGCAAAAAGCTCAAAATTCCAACCAAAATGGATGGACTAAAACCAAAAAAACTCACAGCAAATTACTCAAACAGCACGACATATGTTCTTGTTCAAATAAATGAGCTCACTCTGAACTATCCAAAATGCACTAAATCTAAAGCATTGCCATATTGCAGAGATAGAAAAAAGAAAAGGAGCACATTTAGCTTCCAGTTGAGTAGTTGACCATGGTGTAATGAAAAATGTAATTATAAACATTATGGTCTCGATAACCGATCATGCAAAGGGAGACTATTCTAGTTTCATAAACATCCTCAGAAAATTATCAACAACTAACTGGATGTTTATTAGAATGTCCACATAAAAAACAAAACACTGACAGGTACATGGACCATGGATCGGCGGTGTGGTGTGTGAGCGGTCCACCATGGACCGAGTCCATGCTGAAGGGTATGGGTCCTTATATTTTCAATGTATTTCCTCTTTTATTCTTTTGAAGGAAAACGGCAAGAAAGTGTGGACATGTCATCCTGATGTCATCAAGCTAATAAGCTAGGAACGCTCGTGCAAAGCAGAGCACGGAACAGAGCACGACCGGTGCCCGGCGGCCATTTCCCAGCAACGCGAGCTTGCGGTTGCGTAGTATGCCTTGCGCGCGCGCGTGGAGAAGGAGCGCAGGGGTGCGGGGAAGCTCACCTGCGGCTGACCAAGGGCGGAGGAGCAAGCCGGGACTGGCTGTTCCCCGGAGCGAGCTCACGCCTGGCAATGGCGGTGCGGCGCAGGAGTTCACGGGCGTGATGCTTGTGCTACTCAGCTGGTAGTGGTGGGCTGGTGGTTCACGCTAAGGAGCTCGGCCGCTCGCCATGATGACCGATCTATTGTAGGCTCCGCGTACTACAGGTGGTGAGATCAACGATCTGTTGCAACGGACATCGGAGCGGCGTCCTAATTCCGCGTGCCTAGCGTGTGTCAGCGGCGGTGGAGACCTGAGCCCGCGGCGGCGCAAAGCAGCAGCGTCAGTGGGGAGGGCGCGGCGCCATGAAGACTTGAGCGGGGCGATTCGGCGACGGCTCCGCTGGTTGTCGTCGTCCGTGTGCTTCTGCTAGGATTAGTCGTGGTCGTCTTCGCCCATGTGCTGTTGTTAGGATTTATGGTTGGGTGTTCTGTTTCGCATAGCTAGAAGGGAAGATAGATGGGGATATAGGGTCCTAGTGACGTACCTGGTGGGTGCTCGTCGCTAGCTTGGCGTCGTGACAAGGTACGCCAGCGTCAGCGGGCAGGGCGGCGAGGTGACGGGGACAAGACGGGGCGTCAGACGGGGCCGGTACGGGGCAGGACGTGGACA